CCATCCGTCCAGCCGCGGGAAAGCAGCAAAACATGTCCCCACTTCCCCGTCCCCAGCTGCACGGGGCCCTGGTGGGATGGCACGGCACAGCACGGCACGGAATGGCACAGAACGGCACAGCACGGCCCTCCTCCGCCCCATGGCACCTCCACCTGCCTTGCCAGGCCCCAGTGCTCAGACCCCCCACATCCCACCCGAGACCCCGAAATGCTCCCAACCAGCTGAGCTCCTCCATGCCCTCCGCCCGGGGCGGCCGGACAAAGGTGCCCGGCCCCAGGTGCGAGCGGTGCCCGCTGGCCGGGCTGTGGCCGCATGGAGAGGGGCTTCTCCTGACAGCAGAGGGCTGGAGGAGCAGGAAGGGAAACTGAGGCACGGAGAGGCCGTCGGAGCTGGTGGCAGCAGGGCTGCAGCCGGGCCATGCAGGCAGGAGGGACCCGGAGCGTCATGCTGTGCCGAGGGCCGTGCTCGCCCCTGGGAAACATGCCCCAGATCCAGGCCCGTTGGCTGGGCCCAGCTCCTCTCCCCCCGCTCGGCACGGACGGGGGTACTGCTGGCGCAGAGAGAGCTATTAGCTTAATTAATTTGCTAGCTGGTGGCAGCAGGGCTGCAGCCGGGCCATGCAGGCAGGAGGGACCCGGAGCGTCATGCTGTGCCGAGGGCCGTGCTCGCCCCTGGGAAACATGCCCCAGATCCAGGCCCGTTGGCTGGGCCCAGCTCCTCTCCCCCCGCTCGGCACGGACGGGGGTACTGCTGGCGCAGAGAGAGCTATTAGCTTAATTAATTTGCTGTTATTTCTCCTAACGAGCTGGGATCTGGAGCAGGCGCTTCCCTCCCAAAGCCTGCGCCTCCATTTGCAGCCGCGTTGCCTTCCCCCGCCCCGGCAGCCGAGCAGGGGGTGCGAAGCCTCCAGGCACTGCTCAAAACAGACCTTGTGTAGGAGGGAAAAATTACACCGAGGGAAAAATCCCTCCCCGAGCCAGGGCCTTAACCCACTTCCCAGCTGCAGCGCTGGGAGAGGGGATCTCGGCTTTTGGGGAAGGGGAGAGCCCCCGGTCGAAGGGGCTTCTACCCGGCAGCTTCTCCGCAAGGTCCCTGCGATGGTCTGAGCTGGCCCCTGGACCAGGCTCAGCCCTGAGCCCTCTGCCAGGGAGGGAAACTGAGGCAGGGTTGCTGGCGAGGGAACGGGCAGCACGGCAGCGGGGGCAGGAGGTCGATGGCTCCTGCCTCTGCTGCCGGATGGGC